CTCTCTCTCTCTCTCTCTCTCTCTCTCTCTCTCTCTCTCTCTCTCTCAGAGCAAATTCAGGTGAATGAATATCTCCATTCACAGGATTGGCAGTCATAACGCAAACAACATATGACCTAATTTCAAATCAGATGATGTATTTTGTGACTGCCATATGCCTTCTGCCTGTATAGCTTATACTAAACCCTTTATTCCTACACTCCCTGAGGCAAATGTATTCCTATTTAACAGATATATTGTTCAATATTACCAGTTTTCACTACATTTAAAAGGCAAATATTGTATTTTTACTAAAAGGAGAAGTGTGTAATGTGTGGAAGGACAGTGGTTAAAACCTCCAGAACGCTGTTACCACCTTGGTATGCAGTTTGCAGGTGTAAATGTGGAGCAGGCCAGTGCTAAAAAAAGACAAAATCCTTCCCTACAGAATAGGTTCCCAAGAACAAGAACACAGGATTCCACCTTCAACGACTCCTCTGGAGCTATCTCGGTGATTCATTTACAGCTCGTTATCAGGTGTCATCACTGTAGCATGGGGTTTCCAATAAAGCTAAAACACTGCAACCTGTTTAAAAACACAGGTTAACAAAAGGTTGAAATGAAAACAGCTGAGTGTTTGATCCCCACAATAACTAATGGATCCTATTCAAGCTTGTGTTTTCTGAAGCTACTACAACCGATTGTACTGTGAGCAGAGTCAGATGTGATCAGTGATTGACAGGACTTTAACTAGAGATTATTCTTATTATTTGCTTGATTAATCATTTGTTTATATGTCAGTAAAGAGCAAAAATGCCAATCACAAGTTTCCAGAGCCTATGACGTCGTGTCTTGTTTTGTCAGACCGGCTGTCGAAAATTGAAAAATATTCAGTTTCAATATCTTGGAAGACTGTAAAAACCCAGAAATATTCAGATTTGTGCTTGTTTTATGTCCCTTTGTGTTCAGTTTGTGTCTTTTTTAGGTTGTTTTGCATCTTTTTTAGGTTGTTACACTTCTCTTTATAGTAAATCCTCTCTTTGTTTTTGTTTGAGTTTGTTTTGTCTATGTTTGTTCAATTTTTATCTCTTATCGTCATTTTTGCGTCTCTTTGTTTTGCATTTCTGGTTGTTTCATAACTACTGTATAGACTTTGTATTTCTTCGTAACTGTTCTTTCCAGTCTCTTTGTGGCCATTTTGAATTCCTCTGTGGTCATTTGGTGTCTCTTTGCGGTCGTTTCACATATCTTTGAGATTTTTTGCAGATTGACTGAAAATGAATAAACAGCAATTTTGATAATTGATTAGTAGTTTCAGTAATTTTTCAAACAAAACAAAAAAGCCAAATATTTTCAGATTTCAGCTTTTCCCGTCTGAGGATTTGCAGTTTTTCTCTGTTTTTCATTGTAAACTGAATATGTTTTGGGGTTGGGACTGTTGGTTGGACAAAGCAAGCAATGTGAAGACTTCACCTTTGGACTCTGGGAAACTATGACAGACACTTTTTCTGACTGATCAAGCGATTAATTGATAAAACAAACGGATTAATCTATAATGAATATTGTCGTTAGTTGCAGTCTGATTGCAAACAAGATGAGTTATGTTATGTTGTGTTGTGATATGTTATGTTAAGTTATATATTCCGCTAAATTATATCTGTTTGCCCTACCATTCATATACTTTTTCCCTGATAGACTTTGGGCTCAACACAGGTTGCAACATGTTTTTTTTTGTTTTCCTTATCCATTGTTTTAGCCTTATAGATCTGAAGCCCAGTACGGGCCTTGTCAGTGCTACAGGACAAATCCATAGTAAAAGGCCTTGTTTAAAGAGGAATGTCACCCAGTTTTAAAAGGCACATGTGCTATTCATGAGGCAGAGACACAGAACTGGTAATACTTGTGTAAATATGTTTCCTAAAACCTGAAGCGAAAGAGCGAACGATTCATTTTTGAAGTCAGGGGTGTAAAATCTTTGCTGTCACATAAAATGTGCTGTGTGTCAGTTCATGCAGCCAAATTATGTTTACAATCTGGTTCCTATAACTGTTAGCAATGCTAGAAGATGAACTTTATTTGATTTGACAGCTCAGCATCTAGCACCACAAAGTGTTGGCCTCCTCCTCGTAGTGCTAATTTTGCAGCCCAAAGATTGTGCTCTTATATTTATCAGCATCCGAGATGTCGTGTCAGAAAAAACTTATGTCGAAGGATTTTAAACCATTTATTATAACAGATATGTGCACTTTTATATGTGGTTTGTGGTTTTGCAGTCATGGGGGTCCTCAACTGAAGATCCTAAAAACCCTGAAGCAATATACTGCACACTACAGAACAGAACCCAGTAGACTGTATCACCCAGATACGGGACATACATAATGCAAAAAGAAAGAAATGCATTCACAAGAGCTGTAATAAGAAGAAAGTAGGGCAGGAAAAGGCTTGATGATGCAGGGATGAATTCAGTGAAAGTATAGTGTTGTTGAACTCCTTCCAAGAAGTCAAAGAAGGATGTATTACTAATTCTAATGGTGCAGATTTGGATACATCCTTCATTGTCTAAACTGCGGTGATGTATTCGCTTTGGTACGATGCAGAGCACAAACCCTGGTTTTAATTTTAAAAACAGTACAGAACAGCCTATACTGCACTGAACAACTTCACTGTTGCTGCTTTACTTGCCATATTTGCCTTTTGAAGAGAAAAGATGAGATGAAAGTTGTAAATTATTGGTTAACCAGAGTGGTTGAAAGTGAATAAGATATAGGACTGCTAACAGGATGTTAGCTGAGCTCCGCTTTCTACTTCTGTCAGATTTCTGAAGATGTCAGAAGTAACTCATCAATCTTTATTTCACAGGAAAGATTTAAGAACTGACACCACTCATTTTGAAATCTAGCTTTTATATTTCCTCTGAGGTTTTCAATGTAGAGTTGGAAAAGAGTGTTATCATTGTAGATTTCTTCAGTTTCGCTTGTAGTATCATAAAGCTGAGAACTCTGGGACAACAGGAAACAAATACATTCATTGGAACGCACAATACCTGTTTCAAAATATGTAAAATTCAGTCATGTCAACGTATATCTTTACCTCCACTTTGCAATAGAAGACAGTAAAAAGCGTGGATTTGTAAGTGCCTGCAAACCTGTAAAAAACAGTCAAAACAATATCAAACAATGCTACTACTACTACTACTACAAATAATAATAATAATATATCAAATAAATCTACTAAAGTCACACTGGAAACTATATAATTCTGCTTAAGTTAAAACGACTTCAAACTTTATCAACCCAACTAATCTGTGTCTTCTGGTCTTTATAACTATTAATATTAGTAGTAGTAATAACAGTGGCCTTGTATAGTTTTTCTGCAGGATTTATAGTCTAACTTGGCTCTCGACTATAGTCTGCCCCCTGCAGGACAAGGGAGGAAAAGGTATTTGTCTCCACAAGAAACTCAAACCTGAGGAAACTTTAAATATTCAACATTTCGCGATATTTTATTTTTTAAACATGCAGTCACAGAGGCCCACTGTCAAACTGAAACGAAAAAAAGCAAAGTCGCGTTGTAGTTCAAACTAATAGACTGTACGGCTGGGCCTGGCCTGACAGAAGAACTACTGCCCCGTTCGCTTAGAATCATGGGAGATGAAGTCTTTGGCCAAAATGGATCATACCAATCTGAAGGTACGACATAAATGGTATTGAAAACACAGATCCGTGCTTATCTTCAGCAGCCACAGACAATTTCTTACTTCTATGTGTATTTGTGTGTTCTTCTCTTTTTTTTAATAAACATTATACAATAGCGGGACTCTTCGATGAAGTCGTGGGGAAGCTAACGGACCTCCCCCCTCTGACACGGAAGAATATAGTCGGCCCTCTAATGCCTGTCCTCTTTCCCTGTCGGATTACGGCCAAGGCAGCACGCAAAGGAACGGTTACCAAGCAATAAAACACCGAAAAAAACAAGAGTAAGTGGAGAAGTATTGTAGTTGTACCACCGACCTGAATTATAACAAAAACGTTACTCCTTGTTAAAACTCTCAAAGTATTTTGAATTCGGAGTTTTATTGACGCCACGTGGTCAAAGAAACTAGCTACTAGTTGCTGTGGCTGTCAAAAAAAACTTCTGCTTCCTGACTTCAGCTCGTGAGTGAGCCGGCAACAGACGGAATACAACACGGGTTTTATATCACTTTACATGCGCCTGATTTGTGACTGGTATCGTACACGAATTGCCAAATTGTGATTCTTTTTTTAAATGACAAATTGCTGGCGACTTGCACAGTTATCTTTACCCCCATGTCCATCTACTTAAGAGAGTCATAGTGGTTTTTTATTCTAGTATTCCTAAACGTTCTATAAATATCCCTTCTGTGGTTGTTTGTCCATGAGGTTTTGTATTTTATGAACACGTGTCTCTTATTTCTGTGTTGCACACTAGTTTTCCATTCCAGTTAAAGTTACCAAAGGTGAGCGTTGGTGTTGCAGCTGCTGTTCAGCTGATGCTCTAACGCATGGTGTCGTATGGTGAAGTGGAATTCATGTGTACTCAGTTGCTAGTTTGTTAAGTACATCCAGCTACTAGTCTAATAGAAGAGACCCGCAGTGAATCTCACACTTATGGAGGTTAAAATGTTTCTGAGAAGTGTTGAGTCAACGTCAGAGCTGCATCTGCACATTTCCATTATTGATAAATCTGTAATTTTTTTTTTTTTTTTTTTTGTGCAAACACTTGTTTGGAATCTTTTCATGCAAAGTGACCAAAGCAATTGTTGTTACAGCTCTTAATGAGGAAGACAAAATATTACAAACTCCTCTTAGATTCATGCAACATAATTCAACAGCTAAAAACTCTAGCCTCCAAAATGACACACGCCAGGTGTACCTTACAAACTGAGTATTTATCTGCACTAACCATGCTATAGGTAATACAATTGCATGTTTGCAAGTTGTTGTATTTTCATGTGGTTAGGCTAGTTTTTTTATTTTTATTTATTTATTTTTATAAAGTTTATGCATGAAAATGTATGCTAGTGTCGTTTGTGTGAAGTTTGGCTGCATGTTTTAAAGGAAGTGTTGATATCAGAAACATTTGGATTGTCTTTTGATTACTTTGATTTGTTTTGTACGATAGGAAGCATTCATTATCCTTCAGCATGCCAAAACAAAGGTGAGCCACACCCGGTTGCACAGGTTGGGTTTTTTTAATGTTTCAAAAGAAATGTGTTTAATGCATAAACGCAGTGTTTCCTCAATAATTTGACACAGCTGCTGTGTGATTATTATTATTATTATTATTATTATTATTATTATACATGTCATTATCTTGGTGTTGTTCACCCTGCAAGTTTCAAATTAAGACTGCAATGCTTCTTAATCATAAAATCAATATTTAAAAAATATGCGGTAAATATTTGTACAACATTTAGTGTTAGATTTAAAATGAATATTGAGGAAACACTGCACACACATCCTAACCTTTTTAATGTTGGCCATTTGTCACATTACATTTTGCATCGTTTGTTTTGGCTTTGGTCTTTGAAAGTCCAATGTGAGATTGATCAATGTTGTGACTTTTTTGGAGCATTATTCCACGATCCTAAAAGCAAACACGATTGAGTCTTTTGCATTCTGTTTGATTCTTCTATTCTCAGACGGCTCATTCTGAACACGTTAGCGATTGATCAATCTAAACATCTCTTTGCCCACAAGACCACATTGGCATCACATATCGACAGTTTTATGAGCTTTCTTTGATGCGTCTAAGTTCCTCTTTGTGATGCCATCTTCACACTGAACTAATGGCTTTAGCTTCTACCTGTTGCTTCTTTTCTCTCATCACGAACACAAAAGTGAGTAGAGAGCCCGTTTTAATAGAGGAATGGATCAGTCTTGGCCGAACCGTCAGCAAGGAGGAGCCCCTGAACATGCTGTGCCAGTGGGGACCTTCAAGCAGGGTAACGGTCCCGTCATCAGCGGAGATAAAGTCCAGTTTGGGAGGCTGCGGCGGTGCACGCGTTTGTCAGAGAGCCACAGCTCTGGGGCTGAAGAGGAGTGGTTGAGCTCCTCCATGGAGGCAAGCGGCTCCTATGGTAAAAGTCCCATCCTCCAGGGCATGCAGGCAGAGTGAACCTTGTACAACCGCAGTGCCTTTGAGCAGGCCAAGAGCAACTACCAACGGCGGCTCGCCTCTAACGGCAACGGGCCGCTGTCCTCCTCTCCGAGGAGTCCGCACAGCAGAAGCAACGTGACCTTCCAGGCTAGACGCAGCCGCGGTCAACCGCAGGATCAGGGTTACCCCACCACCACAGTGAAGGCCTCCGGTGTCCCCCACCGCCGTTACAGCTGGGGCCGCAGTCGCACCTCCTCTGAGACCGAGCAGGGGGCCAAAGGCAGCAAGAGGCAGACCCAGAGGAAGAGGGGCCTCTCTGAGACGCAAAGCAGGCCCAGATGGGACAAGTATGCCACCTCTCACACAGGGAATGGAAGAGACGTGATGTGTGTTTTCGGATGATTTCATTTATTTATTTTTTTGTAATTTGTTGTCTGTCCTGCATTCTTGTTTGGCCTTTTTTGGTTCTGCTAACTTGTGTATAATGTTTTTGAGGTACAGGTTTATTGATGGGCCCTTTGTTTGGATTTTTTTTGTTTAGGCAACATTCAGACTGATTTAAGCCCTTAATAAATAATAACTTGGCACGCTCATTCATTTAAATGAGATCAATCCATTGACACAGCAGGGGTGTGAACACAGAGGGCTCCTGCAAAACCTCACTCAACCTCTGCCACAGTGCAACTCAACATCATTTCAAGGTACAGCAGTGGCCAGTTGATTATTTGTAATGTGATATCTGTATTTCTATTTATCTCATCATTGTGGCTTAAGATCAAATTATTTTCACACTGATAACTTGTAACATCCTGTCACAGAATATTTAAAGGCTCTGCAGTGTTTTGGGACGTGACAAACTTTTATTTAGTCTCACCGGTACCTGCATCCATACAGCGCCTTGCATTTATTTGTTTTACGCCCACTGAGTCTGAACTGGTGTCACATTAAGGTATGAGCGCACAACATGCCGTCATGTACCGACGTGTAGTAAACGTGGTCTGTGTTTGATTATCACACAAAGTGGACCTCTGCTATCACTAAGGGGGGGGGGGGGGTTGTTGGCGGACAGCGAGTCGACCAACCTTTTGTTCTATAATCCAGACTTTGCAGACCAGGCAACTGTCTGACTGAGGAATGTGTAGATGCCTGTCTGCTGCAGTAACCCGTCAGCAAAATGAGAAGGGAGGTGAACCATACATGCAGTAGTTTTTCACCCTTTTTTTTAATGTTGCTTTTTTATTTTACAGAAACGAGGCCTTTTACTCTGCTATCCATTCATAGTTTAATCTGTTCGCTTTGTGTTGTCTCTCCCTATTCCACCCACAACCCCATCTGTGGCTGTGCATGATGTAGCCTGTAATATACGGTGTCCCGGTCAAGCCGTGTTCTGTCACTCATTGCGCTGGCTTTAACGAGTAAACACATGGTCGTGGCTGCTGCTCAGTAGAGAAAATGTTGGATGCAAATCTGCGTTTAGTTGGGTCTTCTCTGCGTTGTCTTACTTCTCCTGAATTTCCGATTCCCTGCTCAGTACCAAGATGAGCGGACTGCAGTGCCTCGCCTCGGAGAACATCTGGTTCGACAAGCGGTGCTACGATGAGGCCGAGAAGTGCTTCTACGAGGGAGCCAACGGACCCTCCACACAGGTACACGGTTTATCTGCTTTTTTTGAACGCCTGTTTTTTATGCAGCCCAAAAGCAATTTGCATCAATCTGATCATTCCTAGACATAAGGACTCTGTTTTTTTTAGACGACCTTTATCTCGAATCCTCCTCGTGTCTCTTGCTGCCAGCTTTTGAAGTCTCTTTCGCCGCTTGCCTGTCACCTCAGCTCACGCTGCCCTGTCAATCATCAGCATGTTAAGCAATAGTTACATCAGCATCGTCAGCCCTCTGTAGCCCGGAGCAGCTGTGTGCATGAGTCGAGCCACTCGATTTAGAAGTGGCACGTCTTAGTGAGAGGGGTCAGGTGGTTTGGCAGCTGCCTTTGCTTCTCAGGTTGTCCAGAGCAGCAGAGACTCTCCACACAAGCCTTTAAAACAATGGAGATTAGATTAGAGATCACTTACAGTTCTTTAAAGATTTCTTTCACCCTAAACACAGAAAGCGATGCAGACAGTTTTTGTTTTACGTGATGATTTTTGAGAAATGCGTCTCCACTGTTGCCCAATTACAAATGAGAGGAGTGAAACAACGTCCTGGTTTTCAGGATAATCAACAGATCACGTCAAGTTCTTGGGTGTAAAGCTGTTTCAATGGAAATGGTTTACATTTCAGTACGTGTACTGAAGTGGGAAAATGACAGCTGCACCATGGAACACAAACATCATCCTGGGTTTGTGTTGCCTTAATGCACGCTGCCAAAATACCATTTATATTTAATCACGAGGAATTTGATAAGCATGTAGCTCACATTTATTTGCTTCAAGTGTTTTGATAAGTCTTCCTGAATGTTGGGTGTATGGTCCGTTTTGCATTCTGCTTTGTGTCTTTCTCGCTGCTCCCGCTTCATCACTGCTTGGCCCACATACACCTGCAGGAGAGAGAGGTTAATGGCATCCTGCAGGACATTGCTAAATCCCGACAGAATATCCTGCAGTCCCTCAACGGAGTGAGTACTGTCCTCCGAATGAGCCACAGAAACACCCCTGTAGTGGCAGGACTGTACTCGCTAATGTTCGTGTACCAGCCCCGAAAGAGGGGAATATCTGTTTAAATATGAAATTATGATTTAAATATAGACACAGCAGGTCATAGGGGACAGCTTTTAGTCACAGAAAACATTTCGCCTGCACCTCACTAGAAAAGTGCTCTATGCATGACACAGAACTTATTCACCCAGTCGTCTCTGCTTGCTTCTCCCATCATCTTCATTGCAATCAGTCAGTAAGTTGTTTGTCTTTACATGAATGTCATTGGCAGTATAAGTGGTCATTTTTGCATAAACAAAAATCTGCTTTCTCATTAGATATTTAAATGTTACCTTTTTATAAGGATACGTTCACATGTTTTAGGTCTGTCTAAAAACAATACCTGCATGCCCTTATGCACCGTAAAAGCATTTTGGTAGCTGCAACTGTTCCTCCTGTCCATGCTGTCCAGATTCTCTCCTAGAGTTCCTACCTCATACCGTGTCTCAGCAAGCTGTCTGTGGCAGCAACAAGGAGGGACTGTCGTAATGCATGTGACGAATAAATTACACGAAAATGTGAAATACTCAACGTGAATATTTTGCATCAAAAATATTCATAACGGCAGCGACGTGAATTTGCAGTTGCAACACTTTTCAATACAGTTCGAGAGTAGATTTGCAGAGGACCACGATCCTATTGACCCAGAGCAGTCCGAGGTTCATTATTGTATGGCCTAAACTACTGTAAGCTACTTTAATACGTTTCCTTTAGTGAAGTTGAATTCCCTCTGGTAAACAGTTACGCAGTGTCCTGTATATGTAAAGGGCTTTTATTGTGAAAGGTAAGAACATACAGGGTGGATCTGGTCTGTTCTGCCTTTGTCAAGGTTGAAAGGAGTAATAAAGTTTGCCATCTCGGTTCGGAGCACTGGGAAGTGTATGTTTTTGTACAATGTGATTGGTTGATGCTTATATTCACGGTGGGAAAATCGACATCCTTTCGCAAAATACATGCGCCTCTTTTCTGCCGTGGAATATTCACATTCTGTCTTGAAAGTACTCGTGAAACAAAACGGTTGGAAAAAATATATTGATGTGCAAATTTATTGCACAAAGAAATATGTCCCCAGTGTGTAATGGCCTCTAAATAAAATTGAATTACCCGTCAACTTCTCCAAGTAAGTTAGAATTCATCAAAGCAAAAAGAGCTACTCTAGTATTTATAACAGTTTAAACGGTCCCATAGAGCTGCTGGACTGGTTTGATATTTCCCATTTTGGGTTATTTGATTTATTATGATGTAAAGAGTTGTGTTTCATCCTTTTTCTCTGACAACATTGACATTAAATGCTGTCCTATTAGTGACGACTTTAAAGTTGTAGCGTCCAACTTTCTACCTACAACCAGTACTTTTCTTCTTGTCATCGTGTTTCCCCCCCCCCCCCTTCCATATTACGTTCACTGTGTACATCACCGGGTGTGCAGGCGAAGTCGGCCCTGCAGCAGCCCAAAGGGTCCCAGCTAAAGCGGCGGCACAGAAACGTAAGACTTCCTGTTCCAGCTTTGCTGCTCGGGCGTGGGAACGCTGCATGACTGAGAGACTCAGCCGAGTGTGCTGGCTGAGTCTGCTGCTGCCTGGAGTGGAGTGTGCTGCTGTTATCACGGCACTAAGACATCATGAATCACCATCTTACCAGCTGGCATATTCTTTTTTTGGGGCTTCTGCTAACTGATGCAGAATTTGCGGGTGAAAATATTAATCTTGATGATTTGTTTGGTTTTGATCTTTATTGTCGTTACCATTAAAATTAAACTTTAAAGCTCAATTCGTATAGTAGTACTGTAGTGACGGTTACCTTTCATTCAACTTCTGAATTAATTCATTAAACTTAAGGGAATAGTTTGACATTTTGGTAAATACTCTTATTCATATCAGTCGAGAGCTACATCATGTTTTGTGTTTAATTGGTATCAATCTTATCTCTTCGCAAGAGAGCAAATATAGTTTTCCCAAAATGTCGAACTACTGATTTTTTTTTTTTTTTTTTTTTAATTGGTTTTTGGGCCAAGTTTGCCTGCATGCATATTATAAGCATTATAGCATCTCTTTAATAGTGATCACAGGGTTTCATTTTAACATCAGCATTGTGTGTGTGAAGTGTATCCAAATCATTGTTGTGCAATAGGTTTTAGCCTTGCATGGGTTTCTTTTTAAACCTCACTATTTTTTTATTTTGCTTTCTTCAGACTTTGATCGTCTCTCAACCTGGAGGAGAGGCTTTTTTGCTTTGTCACCATTTGAGCACTAACCTGCAAGATGACGCTTGCTAATTAATTTTTGTTTATCTTTCCATAGTCATCCTCTCGTGCAGGAGACCAGGAGCTGGTTTCTCGGATGAAGAGCCTGGAACTGGAGAACCAGACACTGCACAAAGGTGTGTGTGTGTGTTGAGTGTTTTTGAATGTCTTCCTGAGCTTATTCTTACTTTTGCAGTATTAATACTTAAATTTTTGTATCGTGTTTGCTTGTCAGTGGTGGAGGAGATGAGAGCAGCCCTGCAGAAGCTGGAGTCCAGAGTGGCTGGGCTGGAAAAGAGCCCAGCGGCCGTCACATGTGCTAAGGTAGATGACTACAAATTTGGTATTTTTTTGTTTTTTAGGTACAGTACATTACTACATTCATGTTCTCTGTATTTATAAAACTGTAAAAGATTGAAAAAGCCCTCTGAAGAGCACACCTTTACAGAAAGTGTTCCTGTCCTTTTCCATTGTTTTGACCAGGCTGCTCCAGTCAAACAGGTAAAGGTGGAAAATGGAGATGACGATGACGACGACGATGTTGACTTGTTCGGCAGCGATGACGACGACGAGGAGGCAGAACGCATCAAGCAGGAGCGCCTGGATGCCTATGCAGCCAAGAAGTCCAAGAAACCCACCCTCATCGCCAAGTCATCCATCCTGTTGGACGTTAAGCCCGTACGTGAACTGTATCATGTGACTCGCATTCATATGCTAGTTACGTTGTGGTTGTGTTCTCTTATAGGGAACATTCAGTTATGGAGAAACTTGTTTAAAATCAGCAAATGTGTCTTCCCATGCAATGAGTTCTGCTGCAAATAGTGTTGACTTTAGTCTTTTAAGGCTTTGGTTAAATGAATGTTCTGTGTGTCTTTCCTTAGTGGGACGATGAGACTGATATGGGGAAGCTGGAGGAGTGCGTGCGGTCTGTGCAGATGGACGGGCTCCTGTGGGGAGCATCCAAACTGTTGCCAGTCGGCTACGGCATCAAGAAGCTGCAGATCAACTGCGTGGTCGAGGACGACAAAGTCGGCACCGACATCCTGGAGGAGGAGATCACCAAGTTTGAGGACTATGTAAGTAACGACCACTTTGACGTAATCTGTGCGCCACAATCCGACAACTTCAGTTCATTTACCTTGAGTCATACCTGTGCATGTATACTTGTAAAATTACCTCCAGGATAAATGTTGGATATCATGTCCTAAAAAAATGTTTTAATAGTTTGTCTTCTTAGAAAATAAATTAGCATATTTACTAAATGTTGGTTGGAAGAAATTACAATCCTTGAATGATAAAGTTTTTATTGAAATAGATTTAATGCTCAATATCTCATAAATACGCTCAAATAAATATAAACCTTAACTTATTGGACTTTTCTTCCTTTGCAGATCCAGAGTATAGATGTTGCTGCCTTCAATAAGATCTAAGCCAAGGTGTTGCTGCTGCTCCTGGCTTGCACGTTTATTAAAATGCAAAGTTGAGCATTAACCATTGTCTGTGTAATTATTATTTAAAGTCAAACATACATTTTTTTTTTTTTAACCCCATACTAGCAAGATTACTTGAGAACCGTTGGAGTGCAGTCATCTTTAGAGAGCACAGCTTCTCAAAGGCAATTATAGAATGTTAAAGCCATAGTATATACCATGTTAAAGTCCTAATATAACGTTGAAAAAAACATCATAGTATAGCGTGTTAAAGAAAATCATAAATAAGTAATAAACGTCATAGTATTGAATACTGAAAAAAGTCAGTAGGGTATGTCGAAATAAAAGTAATTGTATAGCATGTCAAAGATAACACAGGATGTGAAAGTCTATTTCAAAAGTCATAAGTCAGTACAGTATGTCAAAAGTATATAAATGTCAATAGTATGTCCAAAAGAACTTGTAAAAAGGTTTTGGTATAGTAGGTCTTTAAATATATCATAAGTCAGTTTGTGCTAAAAAATGTCAACAAAAAGAATTCACTGATATGCCATAAGGTAGAGTAGGTCATAACAATTTAATCAAAATATCGTATAGTACGTCAAGAAGTTTAGTGTTGGAGTTTTCGGAGCGGAGGAACTTTTAAATAGTTCAGCACCTACAGACATTTAAAAACCCGTCAGCCATTTACAGGCTGAACAGTTTGGACCAAAAACGCCTAATGTCATAAACTGCTGAACTGCTCTACCTTAGTGCTGCTGCTCCTGGCTTGCATGCTTCCTAACATGCTACGTTTTGAGCACTAACATCCATCTCAGTTTCATTATCAGTCAAACGATAATATTTTGAAGCTGCTTGAGAACTGTTGGAGTGCACTCATCTGTACATTTAAAGAGAGCACAGCCTCAAAGTAGAGCTCAAACCCACCCAGAACCCTGGGTACACAGGCTGGCTAAATGTGGTCTTGACTTTATGGAGTAAAACCATTGTATCAGCAATATTATAGAAAGACAAAGTCCCACCCCTAAAGTCCAGATACACTCCAATCCTGCTGCAGCAGGCAGCACTGATAGTCACACTCTCCTTATTGTGCTGAAATGAACAGACTGAGGAAGAGCAGTCCAGGCTCCAGGATTTGGAGTTGTGTCCGAGCTTGCTGTCGCTCCCTGCTCCACTCCTGCCCATGTTTTTGTAGCAGACGCCGATGGAGACCCCTCCATTACCAGCCCACTCCACCTCCCAGTAGCAGCGCCCAGCCATCCCAGCTCTGCCCAGCACCTGGGCCCAGCTGGTGAAGCGATGGGGGTGGTCTGGGTAGGGCTGTGGCTCTGACCGTGTGGTCACCCCTCTTCGACCATCAGAGAAGCTTAGATAAGGGTTGGCTGTGTTCGGGTCCAGGACTAAATCGTTGTAATCTGGACACAGCAGATGGACATCGTCGTTGGTTTCATAAGGATGGATGATAGTTAGGGTTTATCAAAGAACTGTACTCACATTGTAGAAAATCCGCTCTGGTCTTTGGTTCTGAGATGTATGGTATGTTGGTGTCTTTTGCTGTTAGACAGATGTAGGGAATAAGAAATATTAACTACAACAAAACAATTTAAAATGAATCAACTCTCCTGATTAAATAAACAGTAAAAAAAAAAATTTCTGTTTGGAAATATCTGGTTCTTCGGTTCAAAAAAAGGTTGAAGGTACAAGCCTGTGTACACGACACATTTGAGGTAGATATCAACTACAACTCCCAGTGTGCATTTCAGCTTTTTAAATTCCGGCACAATTGTGGATGAATTCAGCAACTATGGCACCAAGTTTTGCTCTCAGCTGTAATTATGAATCATTTTTTAATATGCCACCACTCCTCACCATGGCAACACTGGCCTAGGCTCATGAGTGTTGTAGTTTTTAGACTGTATATAAACTAGATGGCTAGATTAAGCTAAAGTTGCCTCTGTAAATGAGTTAAAACGCAGAGTACGGATCACTTTTTAAAGGTTCCAATCCGACTCCTTTTAAAACTGAAATCTTGTAAAAGGGATGTTAAATGTGCACTTGATGGCTACATGCATGATAGTGTGTTAAAATAATGCACTCCTGATATTTACAGACTTTCTATTTTACAGTTACAGTTGCTGAGATGATATTGGACGATTCAGTTATCAGTCAATGTAACCACTGAAGAACCTCACTAACCTTTAGTCTTTTCAGAAGTACTTTGAATGCTGGTTTCCTTCAATGAAATTACTAGAAATGCAGACAAGCAAATAAGTGTTTACTGTTCACTAAATAATCACGTTCATGGTGATCACGCGTAAAAGAGATAACACACCTTTATCAGAGATCCTGTTGAATTCTCTTTCAAGGCTTTCATCCAGACTGTCTTTGAGATCAGCCAGGGCGCCTCTCATAGTTTTATACATCATGTATTGAAGCACGTCAGTGCTGGGCAGCTCCACAGTCTTTGCAGGGAACTGAAGAGTCTTGCACTTCTGTGAGGACATGCAACACAACCAAACTAGAAGATGATATTTAAATGCAAAAACCCTGACAAAAGGAGGAATCCCTTCATGGGTTATGTTCATCAAGTTCACGCTGCAATTAAAATCATATTAACTGTCAAGAAGCATGTTTGCCTTGTTTTAAATGTCATATATCTGAAACGTAAACATGGTGGGACAGAAGAGTCCAAGATGGCGCTGCGGATGGCTGCCTCGGTGTGTTAGGACACATTGTTTTGTATTTTTTTTATTCTTAATTTAGTTTTCTGCTAAAGGTGGGGAGGTGGCTAGTTTTAATGTATTTGGGTAGCTTGTGAATTTCCCTGAGGATCAATAAAGGTTTTAATATATCGCAAGATCATAATCTATTTGTATCATTAATCTCAATTAGAAAACAGCCACTGATTTAAGTTCTTAAATAAATGTAGTGGAGTAAACCACAATATTTGCCTCTGAATAGTGGAGTAAAAGTGTAAAACAACAGAAAATCCAAAGACTCAGTAAGTTACAAGTACCTCAGAATTGTACTAGAGTAAAAGTACTTAAGTTACTTCCCCCACTCTGATAAATACATGGCCGGACCGACCTTTTTCCTCCACACCACTGGCCGAGTTATGTTCTTTACCTGAAAGAAGTGCACATGGTCCTCGGTACGGGAAATCTTCTCCAGCTCAGCATCGGTCCTTCTGAGCTCCACGATCTCCCTCTGGATCTTCTCCAGCAGCTCCTCCGCCCGCCCCACGGCTGCTCTCTCCTGGACTCTCATCACCTCCCTCACCTCACTGCTTTGTTTCTCTATGGAGCGGATCAGCTTGGAGAAAACCCTCTCGCTCTCCTCCACCACGGCTTCTGTGGAGTGCTGTGGAGGATAAAGGTTTTACATTTCTAGTGTTTTATATATGCGCA